CCCGAAAACAACTCCGGAGACCCGCTCAATATGGGCCCGGAGAGGGGTGGGTGGGAGGCTCTCGCCACGTGTGTCGTGCGTGCGCATGTGTGAGGCTTCTTCTGCTGTCAGCCGAACAAGCAAGGCGTGGCTGACAGTCTATCACGGAATCCCCATGCTCCGCTGTGGGCCGCAACTGACGACCGCAGCCGACGCGGAGAGGTCGCCGCTGCGGTGCTTTTTGGCGGCCGCGATCTCCCCCCCCCGCCCCTCCGGGCCCTCTCCCCTCTGCCTCCGCCTCCGCGTCTCTTCCCCCGCCTCCCCCCCCCTGCCCCCCCTGCCCCCCGCCCTCCACTCTGGTGATTTGGCCACATCTCGGCGGAATCTGGCCCGTCTCTCGGTACTCTCTCTCGGCGGTCTCTCGGTGAGCTCTCTCTCTCTCGGCATCCCGCGCCTTGCACGGCGAGGCGCACTGCCGGATCTTGCCGATGCTATCGGCGCACCGCTCGCCGTTGAGGGAGGGGACGAGCTGCGCGACCGAGGCGACCGCGTCGCGGGCCTGCGTCGGGAGGGGGCGCGGCGACGGTACCCATGCGGCGACGGAGGACCCGCGCGGTGGTGCCGGTGTCCTCGGCGCGCCCCCACCGCGAGAGTTTGGGGGGCAGAGGGGGCAGTGCGTGCGGCGGGCGCAGAACGGAATGGGGGGGGGTCCGGCATATCTGGAGTCGCCGCGCCTCGAGGGGAGCGCCGTCCGTCGCTTCGACGAGAAGCGTCTTGAGGTGCTCTTCCCCAGTGAGCAGAGAGTGCTGCGAGAGGGAGGACTGCCCCGCGACGACCGCGCACATGGCGGCCACCTTTTGCAGCGCGTCGTCGCCCTCGAGCAGCGCCGCCGCCGCCTCCTTAAAGTAGGGCAGCAGCCGCGGGTCGACGGTGCCGATACGGCGGGGCACGAGCGCGGCGGCGGCGCCCATCACCGTCTGGACGGACGGCGGTCCCTGCTTCGCGAACCGGATGCCTACAGGAAGGTTCCAGGAAAGGTCCAGGAAAGGTCCAGGAAGAGGTCCCTGCTTTGCGGACCGGATGCCTACAGGAAGGTTCCAGGACAGGTCCAGGACAGGTCCAGGAAGAGGTCCCTGCTTTGCGGACCGGATGCCGGTGCGCCGCTCGAGGTCGCCGACCGACCTCCGCTCGCGCTCCGAGTGCAGCAGGATCGCGGTGCCCGAGCGGCCGGCGCGGCCGGTGCGGCCGGAGCGGTGGACGTACGACTCCGAGTCCTGCCGCGGGTGGTGCTGCACGGTCAGCGGCCTGGAGGTGTCTTGGTGAGGGTGTCTAGAGCCGGTCCTGCGGCAGGCGGTACTGCACGATGAGGTCGACGCCCTCGATGTCGATGCCGCGCGCGGCGACGTCGGTGGCGACGAGCACGGGGAAGTGGCCGTCGCGGAACTTTTGCAGCGTGGTCTCGCGCGCCTTTTGCGAGATGTCGCCGTGCAGCGGCTGCGCGGACAGCGGCGCCAGCGCCGCAGAGACGCAGAGCTCGTCCACCTCGCGCTTGGTCGCGGTGAAGACGATGGTGCGCGTGTCGGCGCCCGTGGCGTGGACTGAGATGAGGTCGGCGAGCGTGCGCGCGCGGCTCGCCTCTGCGTCAGGAGTCAGGACGGCGATGTGCTGGACTGTCGACGCCGCCTGCAAAGGGGGAGGGGGAGAGGTTGGTGTGTGTGTGTGCGCGCGCGCATGTGTGCGCATGTGTGTGTGTGTTTGGGGGGCGGCGGCGGGTGGCGGAAGGGGGGGGAGAGGCCGCCTCGCTGCGGCCACGGCCGACTACGTCGATCAGCTCGGGCGACTTTTGGTACTCTCGCGCGACCGACTTGACCCAGGGCGGGTGAGTGGCGGAGAAGAGGACGGTCTGGCGGAGCGAGTCGTCGGTCGCCTGGGGGAGATCGCGGGAGGTTGTGGGTGAGATCGCGGGAGATTGTGTGTGTGTGTGTGTGTGTGTGTGTGTGTGTGTGTGTGTGTGTGTGTGTGTGTGTGTGTGTGTGTGAGTGAGTGAGTGAGTGGTTGTGAGTGTGTGCGTGCGGAGGGCCTGCAGGATGGTCTCGACGTCGTCCTTGAAGCCCATGTTGAGCATCTCATCCGCCTGTTCACACCTCCGGCTGTGAACGGCGTCTCTTCACACTTGAAGCCCATGTTGAGCATCTCATCCGCCTGTTCACACCTCCGGCTGTGAACGGCGTCTCTTCACACCTCCTGCTGTGAACATGGTCAGCATCTCATCCGCCTCGTCGAGCACTGCGAACCGGACGGCCGAGAGGTCGAGCGCCCCCTCGTTGAGGTGGTCGATGATCCGGCCCGGCGTGCCGATGAGCACGTCGACTCCGTCGCGCAGCGCCCGCTGCTGCGGCGGGTATGGCACGCCGCCTACGCGAAGGTTCCGAGAAGGCTCCGAGAAGGCTCCGAGAAGGCTCCGAGAGGAGGCGGTGCGCCGGTGCGGAGGAGGGGTGTATCTCCCCGCATCTCCCCGCGTCTCGGCTCTCTCCCTCCCAGCCCCACCGTGGAAGAGGACGGTGCGAAGCCGGTGCGGCGCGGCGAGCATGGAGCAGACCTGCGAAGAGGCGACCCGCCGTCAGGATGGGGCAAGAGGGGGGGGCACGAGGGGGGGCAAGAGGGGGGGGGAGAGGAGGGGCAGAGGCGGGGCGGGGCAGGGCGGGGCGGTCGGAAGCGGCGCGGACCTCCGACACTTGGCGAGCGAGCTCGCGCGTGGGGGCGAGGACGACCATCCGGGGCGTGCGGCCGCGCGGCAGTCTCTCGCCCGGCTCCTGCAGCTCCGCCAGCGCCGTGATGAGCGGCAGCGCGAAGGCGAGCGTCTTTCCTGTGCCGGTCCGCGAGCGGCCGAGCATGTCTGCGCCGCCCTTGAGCAGGCTGAAGGACTTGGCCTGGATGGGCGTGAAGTGGGTGATGCCCTTGGCGGCGAGGACGGCGACCGTCGCCGCGCCCACGTCGAACGACGCAATCGGCGGCCGCTCCGGGTCGTACTCCTCCTCCTCGTCCTCCGTGTCCTCCTCCGCCCCGCCCAGCGCGCTCTCGCCGCCGCGGCCCTCTGACCGGAGCGCGCGCTCAATGGCGGCGGTCGGGTCGGCCGCGTCGAGATCGAGGTCCAGATCGATGTCGAGGCTCTCGGAGCCGACTGTCAGGTCGGCCGGTGCGCCCAGCTCCAGCAGCTCGAGCGGCCCGCCGCCGGCGAGCGGCGAGGAGGCGCCGTTGGCGGGAGCGACCGCGATGGGCGGAGCGTGGCGGTGGTGCACCGCGTGACGGCTCGCTGCGTGATACGGTGCAGTGAGCGCCGCAGCAGTAGTGACTGCGACCAGCGAGAAGAGGGCGCGCATGCCCGTTCCAGGTAGCGTCCGTCGAAGATCACGCTTGTGTGCTCGGTCGATCTCGTCGATTTTCTTTTTTCTGTACCGTTAAGGATATTAACGGTGTCGGCCGAGGAAATCACGCGATGTTGGGTGCCGACGGCGCGAGATCGCGATCTCAAACTCACGAATGGGAACACCTCTGCAAACTCACCCACCAAGCTCTCTCTGATCTCTTCGCAGGTTCTGACTGATGCCGACCTCTGGCTTGCCGGCCTCGCTGGTCGACGGCTCGCTCGGCCGGCTCGCCGCCCCGGCGTCCGCCGCCTCCCAGCGCGCCAGCACGCGCACCGCCTTGGCCGAGTGGTCGACGAGGCACACGCGCGCTTGCTCGGCGTCGACGCACACCCCACTCAGTCGGCCAGCGCTCGGCGTGACGAGGGTCTGCAGGTGCGCGCCGTCGGCCGCGTCGAGCACCTGCAGCCGGCCGCGCCGCCCGCCGCTCGCCGCGCCCTCGGCAACGAGGAGCCGCCGCTCGGCCGCGCCGCCGGACCCCGCACCGGGCGGCCGCCACAGCGCGACGCCCCACGGGAATTCAAACTCGCCGGGCCACGTGCCGCGCTGACCGAGGCGGCGCAGGCGGGAGCCGTCGGCTGTGCTAAACACGTGCACCTCGTGCGCCGAGCCGTCGACGACGAAGCACTCGGTCGCGTCGGCGGCGATGCCCGATGGCAGCTGCAGCACATGCGCCTCCTCGTCCTCGTCCGCCGCCTCGGCGGCGGTCTCGGCGCTGCCACTCGCCTCGGCGCCACCACTCGCCTCGGCGCCTAGGCGGCCCGCCATGAAATCTAGCCGCGTGTGCTGGCATCCGGGTCCCACAGTGGGTTTCATGTAACAAGCGGCATAGCCACTGGCGTGGACGCGCTCGCCTCTAAGATACCTGGCGGCCTGCCCAACCTGATCCTGTCCTCGGTGCTGCTGCTCTCCTTCATTCCGTACTTCCTCCCGGAGGATGTGCGTCCGGACCTGTGGAAGTGAGTGACGGCCCCGCGAGCCCAACGGCGTCTGTCCGCTCAACGATGGCACAAATATATATGACTAGCTTGGTGGCTCGCTAAACGCTCGCCTCGCTGTCATGTGTGCGTGTGCGTACTTCCCGAGTGGCGGAGCTATACTCCGAGGCAGGTCAGGTTGGTTGTAAAATGAACGAAAACACGCTATTGCACACTCACAACATACGTCTCGAATGACCTGTCCTACACCTCTCCTACATCAAATCGCCATTCGAGCGCCGTTGGCTCGAGCGCCACGATGCGGTCGTTGCCATAGTCGCAGACAAATACGAGTGGGCCGTGCGCCGCCGTGTCCGCGAGCGCCACACCCTGCGGATATTTGAAGCACCCGTCGCCGTAGCCGCGGCTGCCCACGCCGGCCACGACCGCGCCAGTGGCCGCATTCATCTTGATGACGCGGTGATTCGACCGGTCGGCGACGAAGAGGTGCTCACCGCTAGGGTCGAACGCGAGGCCCTTGGGGTAATTGAGGCCGTCGGCTGCGCCCGACGCCCAACCGAACTTGCCGAGGGTGCGCACAACCTCTCCGTTCACGAGCGAGCAGATGACGATGCGGTGCTGGCTCGACTCGGCGATGGCCACCAACGAAGCGGCAGGTGAGCACGCGACGAATGTTGGGTCCTTGGCCTTGAACGACCGCGCCAAAATCTGTATTGCTCCGTCTGCCGGTCGCAGCACTCCCTCAGAGGCGAGGCGCGGCAGTGCGACAGAGCGCCACGTGAGCGAGAGCGCAGCGGCCACCGCCACGTCGTGCGCCGCGCCAAGGTGCGCAAGGACGACCGAAATCTCGTCGACGCCGAGCTCGCGGCGGCCGCCGGCGGGCGGCGGCGCCAGCATACACAGACACACGTTGGGCGATTCGTGTATGCTTTCTTTCTTTTCCGGAAGAATTCTTTTCCCTAGAATTGTGTTCTTCACCTTTCTACCTACCTACGAGCCGCGTTGAAATTGTTTGCATTTTTCTTTCACCTGCGCCCGCCGCCCGCCGTCGACCTCCGGCGCACGAAAACCGCCGCAGTCCCGCCGTGAACCCGACCCCCCCCCCCCAAATGGACGACCTCCGCTCGCTCGAGCACGGGCTGATCGCGCTGGCCGACCGCGCGACATTGCAGCGCCCGTGCGCTCGACTCGGCAGAGTGGCTGCCGCAGGCGGAGAGGCTGTGCAGAGGAAGCTCGGGGAGCGGCTTGGGGAGCTGGGTTCTGCTGACGCGGCGGTCGTGAAGCGCGCCCTGATTCTCGTGGCGGATGAGCTGCATAAGCTCTCCACGCGTGGCCGGCGGAGTGCTGCGTGGCTGGACGCGGCGCCGACCAACGCGCACTCATTGGGTGAGCGCGTCGGGAAGGCGCTGCTTGCGTACGTCGATGCCGTTGCGGCCAAGACGTCAGACGACCACGTGCTCCCAACGCTGCGGTCGGCGACGGCGGCTCTGCAGGAGTCCCGCAAAGGCGCGGCGGTGGCGCTGACGACAGATGCCGATCGGCTCGCGGGCGAAAAGGAGCGCGCGTTGGCCGAGGCAACCGAGCAGGCGGCGCGACTGGCCGCGTCGCTCGAGGAGCGGGTCGGCGGCTGCATGGCGGCGCGGGAGGCGACCGTCCGCTCTTGGGCTCTCGAGGTGGCGCACCTTGAGAGCGCATTGGCCGCCTTGGCGGCGGAAGAGGGCAGGCGGCAAGCGGCGCTCGGCAGGCTAGAGGAGGCGGCGGCCCTCACCTTTGCCCGTTTCCCCGCTCCTCTCTCACCCACCCCCTGTGCACGCCCATCCCGCAGGCGCGAGCATCGGCGAACGACAGCGTCGGGAAACGGATGGCCGACTCCCTGGCTGAGCTGGGGCGGGCTTCGGCGTCCTCTCCTGAGGCGTTGGCGCTGCGGCGTTCGCGGGCACGGCTCCGGCACGCGATGCTGGAGCGGAGCATCGGCACCAACAGGCGGGTCGTCGTCGAGGTCGAGCGGGCGCGCGCGTCCTTTGAGGCCGCGAACCGCTTGATGTCCGAGGCAAAGGCGGAGCAGAGGCGGCGTGTCGCGCGTGCTCTCGCGCTCGCCTCTGCAGTCGAGGAGGTGCGCAGCGCGCTGCTCCCGCGATGCGGCGTCGACGCCCGGCTCGGACCCGATTGAGCTCTTTACGTCGTAGCATATGTGCACAGACCGCCGTGTGCGGATCGATGGTAAGGCTTTGTGCACGCTGCTGGTGTGCCGCAGCCGCCCGAGCCCGCGCAGGTGCCAGGACACCGCACCCCGCAGCGGAGATGCGAGGGTTGCCCCCCCTTGCCCCACCACCTCGTGTGTGTGGAGAAGTTTACCTTACCTTACCTTACCCCGCAGCAAAACTGGCCCCAGGAATTTCCTCTTCGGTTTCGTCGCACAGCAAAGGTTTCATTTTCATAGTCGGCCGTCGTCCCCGCGACCCCGGCCCCTCTCATAGCCGCAGCCGTAGCCGCAGCCCCAACTCTTGCCGCTCTTCCGTGTCGGGTTGTGACGAGGGGTGAGGGGACACGGATTGAAGATCCCTCACACCAAGATCGTGCAGGGCGGGGACACATGTCCCTAAATCCCATCTCGTCTCAGAGTTTGCCCGTTTTATTTATTTATTTATTTAGGACGTACGTCTTTTCTCGAGGCGCGATTTCGGTTCTCGTGTGTATCTCCGCGCAATGGGAGTTAGCGCGCTTCGCTCGCAGAGCGGCGCCTGCTAGCCAAGCGCGAATGCCTGGGTCGCTGAGCTCGCGCCGGTGGCCAACTGCGCCTCCGTGGCGACGCCCTCCGACCACGAGCGCCGTGCCAATCCGCACTATGAGGTAGGTAGGTAGAAAGGTGACTATGAGCCTCGCTTGGCAGCCGCCGAGTGCGAGAGGAATTTAAACGGCCGAGCCGGCCAGGCAGCCAGCCGACTTCCCGCACCGGTCAGCGCACGTGCGGCCGCGCGTGTACGAGGCGTACACGCGCGGCCGCGCGCGGCGCTGAGGTCAGCCTGCAGGACAGCATCGGCGGCACCGCACTGATGCACGCCGCTGGCCATGGCCACGAGCGGGTGGTCGAGCTTCTGCTTCGGCGTGGGGCGGAGATCGACCTGCAGAACAGCCACGGCGTCACCGCGCTGATGCTCGCTGCCCAGGAGGGCCGCGAGCGAGTGATCGACCTGCTGCTTCAGCGCCGCGCGGATGCCAACCTGCAGAACCGCGACGGCGGCACCGCACTGATGTGCGCCGCCAACAACGGCCACGAGCGGGTGGTCGACTTGCTGCTTCAGCGCGGCGCGGAGATCAACAAGCAGAAGAGCGACGGCGGCACCGCGCTGATGCGCGCCGCTTTGCAGGGCCACGAGCGGGTGGTCGAGCTGTTGCTTCAGCGCGGCGCGGAGGTCAACCTGCAGAACAGCAACGGCGCCACCGCACTGATGTGCGCCGCCAACAACGGCCACGAGCGGGTGGTCGAGCTGTTGCTGCGGCGTGGGGCGGAGATCAACAAGCAGAAGAGCGACGGCGCCACTGCGCTGATGGTGGCCGCCACCAAGGGCCACGAGCGGATGGTCGACTCGCTGATCCGGTACGGCGCTGAGGTCAACTTGGGTAGCGCTCGTGGGCTGCTGGGTTTCACCGCGCTCATGGGCGCCGCCTTTGGTGGCCACCTTGCCGTCGTGCGGCGCTTGCTGCGGGCAGGCGCGGACACAAAGGCACGCTCTGCGGACGGCAGGTCCGCGATGCAGTATGCCAAGGATGAGGCGGCCAAGCTGGCTATTGTCGACGCCACTACTTCTACGATGGACCACGCCGGGTGCGTGCGTGCTCTCACAGAGCATGCAGCGGCACTGAGGGAGGCGGAGGCGGCAGAGAAGGCGGCGGAGAAGGCGCTCGAGGCCAAGAGGCGGCGCGAGCAGCGCGAGCGGGAGGCGGCGGCGGCGGCGCGAGAGCGCGAGCATACGGCACGACAGCGCGAAGCAGAGCGGGCGGTGGACGAGGCGCGCCGGGCGGCGGATGCAGCGGCACTGGAGGAGCAGAGGCGAGAGATTGCGGCAGAGGCGGAGGCGAAGCTGGCTGCTGAGCGCGTGGCAGTAGAGGAGACGCTGCGGGCGAGGGAGGCGGAGAGACGAGCAGTAGAGGAGGCGCAGCTTGCGGAGCAGCGGGCGGCGGCGGCTGCTCGCAAGGCCGCTCAGGCAGAGGCAGAGCGGCGCGAGAAGGAGGCTGCTGACAAGAGGGCGGAGGAGGAGAAGGCGAAGCGGCTGGCGAAGGCGGCCGAGAAGAAAGCGAATAGGAAGGAGGGCAAGGCGAAGAACAAGGAGGCCAAGAAGGCGACGCCTGCCTTCAAGCTCGAGGAGGAGCGGAGAGCGAAGGCTGCGGCAGAGCTTCGCGCGCAGGAGGAGAGGGCGGCGCAGCTGGCTGCTGAGCAGGAGGCGGCGAGGCGAGCGGAGCGCGAGGCGGCAGAGCGAGCGGGTGCGGCGGAGCGGGCAGCGCTGCGCGAGGATGCGGAGCTTGCAGAGGCGCTGCGTCGGTCAGAGGTGGATGCGGAGGAGGCGCTGGCGCGTCGGGTGTCGCGGTGCGAGGCGGCGGTGAGCAGCGAGTCGACCGGCGGCGGGGGGGACTTGCAGCGGCGTGTCGATCGGCTGGAGGCGAGCCTCGGCGCGGCGACCGAGGGTAGCCTCGAGGAGCGGGTCAGCGCCATCGAGCGCTTGATCGAGCCAGAGGCGGCAGAGGCGGCGGAGCAGCAGCTGCCAGTCACCGAGGCGCTTGCTGCCGTCTCACTAGCGGACGCCGGCCTCGACACGGGGCGGCCGGCTGCCCCCGAGTCCACCATGGGAGGCGAGACGTCGTGCATCATATGCTTCGAGCGGCCGAAATCTCACCTCGCGGTGCCGTGCAGCCACTTGTGCGCCTGCGGTCCCTGCTCCGAGCTCATGCGGGAGTGTCCGTACTGCCGCGAGCCAGTGATG